TTGAGCAACCTCACCTAGTAGGAGGTGTTCCTGCCCATGAAGATGGGTTGGAACTAGATGATCTTTAAGGTCCCTTCCAACGCAAACCATTATGTGATTCTACAATTGGCTTTCTCTCTAGTCAGTGAAAGAGATGGGCACATCCAATGGGGGTTTTACTACCTGTATCAGGTGAATTTCCTGGGGTAAAACAACCTAACCCCCTAAATAGTGATTGTCTTCCATCAGTGTGCAAGAAGCCTAGCTTGTAAAAGATGACTGACAGCCAAGTGTGATGCTTTAATGGAAAAACAATATGGCAGGACATTTCCTTCTCCATCATGACTCCTTCCAGTTATTCCGGGCTTTAAGTAGCCTCAATCAGTTGCCTTTGTTTTTTGTGGTTAAATTGGACTGGAATGTAGTACTGTTTTCTTGTAATATGGTATCCTGGCACGAGTGCTCAAGAATCTTGCTGTTGCAGCCAGAGGGAAGTGGGGAATCTGTTTACCAGAAGGATTTCCTTATGAGCTACTGCTCAGAAAAGATAATGGCACCTCTGAGCAAATACAGAAAATTTCAATCTCTGAAAAAATCTGTGCTGGCCAACCATAACCCACCACTCCATTTCACTGGAGCATTTTCTGATTTACTTCCTCCCCTTAAAAGGAAATATCAAATATCTAAGATTTTATTGCTGCTTTAGAATGAAACACATCGTACCCTACTGGCCTTTTTTTTTTTGTCTCCCCAGTGATGGTGACTGCTAAAGCAGACAAAAACATCCACCTTCTACTGTTTGAGTTCCACCACACTTCTCCTCAGGCTGATATCTGTATCAGGCTCTTTTACAATAAATCACAGAATGACATTATCACTAAGGCTGGAAAAGGCCTCTGAAGATCATCTCATCCAGCCCTTTCAAAGCATAGTAAACTAGAGTAGGTTGTTCAGGTGTCCAGCTAGGTTCGAGGATAATCAGGTGTTCAGCTGGGTTTGGAATATTTTTCAGGATGGAGACTCCACAACATGTTTGAACAACATGGTCCAATGCTTGGCCACCTTCACAATAAGAAAAGTTTTTTCTTCTGTTTAAGTAGAGTTTTTAAAATAAATAAATAGACAATAAATGTCAGACAACAAGGGCCTCTGAAGTCCCAGGTTTTCACTGAGTGTGAGGAATCTAAAGGGCCCTTTAAAATTATTAATTTTTTCTGTAGTGAAAGACCCCATGCTTCAGACCAGATCTATAATGTTTGATCAAACATGCTCTATTACTGATATTATTTACATTAGGAATATGGCACATGTGGTGTTATATAGCTAAAGTTAATAATTATTGTATTCCTAAAATAACAAGCAGCAGCAGCAGCTCATTGAATTAATATGGCCTTCAAGAAGGAATACAGGCCTGGGACCCTAGAGACTGATATTCAATATTATGGTATTTCCTGATGACTACTGAGTGGTTATGTTGGTTGGAATTTATCTTACTTAGTTCAGTTCTCTGCATCTCTCCTAATAATTCCAAGGTGCATTTACACCAAGTAAGAAAGAGACATCTCCAGAGCATACTTTGTCTCACAGTAGGAGCCTAATGCAGGATACAGAAATTGCCCTTTCTGCAGGGACTATACAGCTTTGACCAACTAACTTAGCCTTACACATCTAACTTACAGATGGTAAAAATCTGAGGCAAAATCTATAGGTTATCTTGCTGTCTTTTGTTTTCAATATTTACAGAAGGATGCTTGTTACTTGTTTTTCACAACTTATCTAAGGGACGTAATGACAATATGCTTCTTTATAGAAGCATAGAAGTTTATAAAAATTCTTCACCTAAAGGGTTGTCAGGCCGTGGCACTGCCCAGGCCAGTGGTGGAGTCACCATCCCTGTAGGTATTTAAAAGATGTGGTGTCCTCTGCACAGGCCAGGCAGCAATGTGGCACTGAGAGGAGAGGTACTGCAGCCACGTGGGAAAGCTCTGTGCTGAGCAAACAGGTGAATCATTATCCCAGCCCCATAGCACTACACTGACCTGGCAGAATGGATGTTCCGTTAAACCAAATCCATGTGAGAAAAATTACAGAATCACAAAATTGTAATAGTTGGAAAGACCTCTAAGATCATTAAGTCCAACAGTTAACCTAGAAAAAACTACCATGCCCACTAGAGAATGCCCTGAATTGCAACATCTGCACATTTCTTGAGTATCTCCAGAGATGGTTACTCCACCACCTCCCTGGGCAGCCTGTTTCAGTGCTTGGCTAATTGTTCTGTAAAGAAATCTCTGCAAATACCTAGTCTGAATCTCCCCTGGCACAACTTCAGGCCATTTTCCCTAGTCCTGTAGTCATTCACTTGAGAGAAGAGTCCAACACCCACCCAGCTATAACCTCCTTTCAGGGAGTTGTAGAGAGCAATAAGGTCTCCTCCCAGCCTCCTCCAAACTAAACAATCTCAGTTCCCTCAGTTTCTCCTCACAGGACTTGTGCTCCAGACACTTCACCAATTTCATTGCCATTCTCTGGACTAGCCCCAGCACCTCCATGTACTTGTAGTGAGAGGTCCAGAGCTGAACTGCATGAAGTGCTTGAGGTGCAGCCTCACCAGTGCTGAGCACAGGGACACAATCTCTTCCCTACTCCTGCTGGCCTCATAATTGCTGATGCAGGCCAGCATGCTGTTGGTCTTCTTGGCCAAAAATTATTTATTTAACCTTTAGGAAACATTCAGTTGCATTTACAACTACCAAAATGTTTTTAACAATTGTTACTAAGTATTGATTTCCCAAATTTAGATGAATTTCTACAATTATTTATTCAAAGATCTTAAGCTTGCAATGTGTGAAGAAGAAAAGCTATGTTGTAGGTATAAACGCTGCTGAAGAGCTGATGATACCAGAAATATTACATGACACACCCTTTATTTTAAGTCACATAACACAAGTCTATTTCATATGAAAGAATTTGGTTTGTGTATATAAATTCAATAACCTGGCTGGCTCAGCTCCATTGAGTCCTGAAGCTGTGTCACTGGCACCATCTATTTTTGCACAAACAGCACAGCAGTGATGAGTGTGCTTGAAGTATCTATATCCAGACACAGCACCATGAGAGGGAATGTCAGGGTAAAAAAAACAGCTTTCACTGAATATAAGTCCTTTACAAATAGGAATAGCTCCTAAGCTTAGCAGAGGTTTAACAACAGAGTGTTTTACATAAGGGTCAGAAGAGATTTCAAGTCTCTTTTTCTTCTCTTCCTCTTCCTCCTTTTCTCTTTCTCCTTTCTTACCCTCACCTTTTTTTCTGCTTGTATGAGGACATGAAAAAACATCTCATTAAGGAATGGAAAGGAATGATAGAACACGAAGGTAAATAAGGAAAAGATACAGATGGCAAAACCCTACAAAAATATTGTAATTTATTAAATTACAAGTTTTCTTGACACTTTTTGAGTGAGCTAGAAGGATGTTCCCTTTACAAATATATGGGAAAAAATTATTTAGTGGCAAATGACAAGCAGTAGACATAGGCAGAGATTTGTGGTTTATTTTCAGTTTCTGTTTCATGGTAGTCTTCACACAGATTCAGAAGATCTGTTCCTTTACACAACTCAATGGGCCTCAGTTTCCAAGTGCTGCTATAGCACAAAGTATATAAAAATATTGAGAAGACAATGCGATTTTAGTGTATTCCCACTAAAGTTGATGACATATGCTTTACTGTAAAAAAAAACAGAATCATACAATGGTTTGGGTTGGGAGGGGCCTTAAAGATCATCTAGTCCAACTCCTCTGCATGGGCAGGTTGCTAGTTCAAAGGTTGATGATTAGGTGACTCAGTGAAGTCAGGGTGCATCTTATGGGCAAGATAGTGCTCAGCCCACCACAGGTGTGACCTAACATCTTGGTAGCCCATTGCACACTCAGTTCTTATTGGTGACTTCCCATATGCTCTATAGATACTGACCTGACATAATAGGCTGAGGAGAGAGTGACATCCTAGCTAGACTGTGGAACCCCCTCACAGCACGAAGCTGCTGGATTTTGGCCCCTTTAAAGCCTTCAAAGACAGCAAAAGGGCCTTCTCATCCTTTTAGAAGCCAACAAGTGATTTGCCTGGGAGCTTAACTTCAGTCTTACAAATAAGGATTGCAGAAGCAAGATGGAAGTGGACTCCAGTCTTTGGCCAGCGCTCATCACAAGACTAATTCTTACTCCTTTAGATCCCAGGTAAACATTGTATTTGGCTAGAAGTTATTTTCTGCCATGTCTAGCCCTGCTCCCTGCTACTTGCTGTAGCTGACAGGAAGAACTTGGTATGTAATCCAGAATCAGGTCATGTGGTGAAGATGAAGAAGCAGTGTGTAACCTGGGTTCTCATGGAGGAACGGAGAGTCCTTCAGACACTTCCCACACTGAGGACAATGTCCCACATTGTCCAGCACTGAGGCAGCACTTTAGGTAATATTTCGTTGAGGCAATACTCGAAGTAATATTTGAGACAGTATTTGAGGCAATATTAGGGGAAGTCACAGTTCTTTTCCTTTCATAGCCGGGGGAAGGAAGAAAGCTAGTGGTCAATCTGGAATGTAGCATTTACCAGGTAATAACTGCCATCTCATAAGGAATGAGAAGAATTAAAGAGTATTATTCTATGTAAGAGAAACTGAAAAGCCTCCAGTTCCACCCTCTTCCTCACTACCACATTGACAGGCCTAATTTTTTCCCACAAGATGTAAAGCCTTGCAATAAATGAGATATATTCTCCCTTAGGCAATCTTTCCAACATTTTTAATCTTGGATGATCTGATTAAAACATACCAAACCTTCTCTTTCAATGGAAGAATGCTGCATCAGAGCCTGCCAGCAGGCTGTGGTAGCCCCCAAGCTTCTCCAGAACCAAGTTTATTTACACTTTAATTTAGGTGACAACTAATTGTCAGTTGATTCCAAGCTTGGAAGAAACCAGCTGTGCTCTCTCAGCTCATGGTGATCCACTTGCTCTTCTCCTTCTAGATCGACAGCATGCAGGCTCTGCTCCACTGCCCCAGCGTGCTGGTGTGTGTCGGCCGGGAGCCGTTCAAACCGGTATCCATGGAAAATTTGAGGAAACACTCGGTGGAGAAGCTGCCCGACCTGACCCCTCGTTCCAATGGCAACAATATCAACGAAAACAATGAAGGTAAGAAAAACTAGGGGGCATTTTGCACAGTCGTCTCCAGGCCTGTGTCCCACAACCTGGAGATTACAGGCACCTATTGTACTGCTGCAATGTGCAAATTTCATGTGCAAAATATACTTCCCTCTTTCTGCCTCCCAGGCCTTTCCATCCTCCCCTTCTTTTCCTCTGGTTTCCTTCTAGGATTTCCTCCCTACACCCTCCAGTCTTTCTTTTACATGCTCCCCATGTCTGGCTGACTTCCCTTCCTCGTTCATATCTCTGTAGCTCCTTTTCCTTCCAGAACTCCCTCCTTTCCTGTGTCTGCTCTAAGACTCCCTAAACTCATGAGATTTCCCACAAATTTTCTATCCCCTTGTCTGTCATGTAATGTCTGCACTTCTGCATTTACCTGCATCAGACGTTGACCTAATTTAGTCAGCAGAAGGCTCAGTTTCTCCTGCAGGTTAAAGCTGCAGTGCAGTCCTTCAGGTACAAAGCATGTTTTTATGGAAAGGTTATGGAATCATAAACTAGAATCATAGAATCATTTTGGTTGGAAAAGACCTTTAAGATCACCAAGTCCAACCATTAATCCAGCACTGTCAAGTGCATCACTAAACCATGTTCCTCAGCATCACATCTACACAGCTTTGAAATCCCTCCAGGAATGGGGACTCCACCACCGCCCTCGGCAGCCTGGGCCAGGGCCTGACTACTCTTTTGGTCAAGATATTCTTTCTAATATCTAGTCTAAACCTCCCCCGGCACAACTTGAGGCCATTTCTTTTTGTCCTATCACTTTTTTCTTGGAAGAAGAGACCGACTGCCCCCTCACTCAAACCTCTTTTCAGGCAGCTGTAGAGAGTGAGCAGGTCTCCCCTCAGCCTCCTTTTCTCCAGGCTGAACACCCCCAGTTCCCTCAGCCACTCCTCGTGAGACTTGTGCTCCAGTCCCTTCACCAGCTCCTTTGCCCTTCTTTGGACAAGCTTCAGCCCCTCAATGTCCTTCTTGTCATGATAGGCCCAAAACTGACCCCGGGGATTCAAGGTGCAGGCTCATCAGAGCCAAGTACAGCAGGGTGATTCCTGCCCTGGTCCTGCTGGCCACACTAATACAAACTAGGGTGCCATTGGCCTTCTTGGCCACCTGGGCACACGCTGGCTCATATTTAGCTGCTGTCAACAAAATCTGCCAAACTCCTTTTCTGCTGGGCACTTTCCAGCCACTCTTCCCCAAGCCTGGAGCACTGCAGGAATGAGTATGTTATAGAATCATAGAATCAGAGAATGTCTTGGGATGATCTCTAAAGGTCATCTAGTCCAAACCCCTACAATAAGCAGCACCATCTCTAACTAGAACAGATTGCTCAGAGCCCCATCAAGACTAACCTTGAATGTCTCTAGGAATGGGTCCTCCTCCACCTCTCCAGGCAACTCGTTCCAGTGATCTATCACTCTCATATTAAAGAACTTTCTCCTGACATCTAACCTAAATCTACTCCTCTCTAGCTTAAAACCATTACCCCTTGTCCTATCATTACATGCTCTCATGAACAGGTCTTCCCCAGCCTTCTTATAGGTCCATTTCAGGTATTGGAAGGTCACTATAAGGTTCCCCTGGAGTCTTCTGTTCTTCAGGCTGAACAACTCTAACCCCCCCAGCCTGTCGTCATAAGAGAGGTGCTCCAGCCCTCTGATCATTTTTGTGGCCCTCCTCTGGACATGCTCCAACAGGTCCACATCCCACAGGATGGGTGGGGGTTATTCAGGATGAAATTTCTAGGCACTTCATCATGAGTTACCTAAGGTTGCAGGTAATTAAGTCAGCCTGAGAAGCCTATGAAGAGAAACTTCCAGTGTTCAGAGGGCAATTCTTCTACCCTATATTAGGAACTGGTTTTAGTGTGAAATGAATAGTGGTCTGAAGGTGCACGTGTTTTTCTCCATTTTCAATACCAGGAGCCAGGAAACATTCACTCGTGTTAAAATTTAAGGACAGAGGCATCCCCAACTCATTGTCTGAGACACAAAAGTCAGAGGATGCAGAGGGAATAAGCTAAAGATTTGTCCATCAAATTGGGAAAATTATCACTTCAATTAAGGGACTGGGCAAATGTATCTGTTCAAATGCATAAGGATGGTTAAATAGAAGCTATTTCATGTGTTATTGATCTTGGTTGTCTACAGAAGCATAAGTTTGTCTAGATATATAAAAGTGAGCTTTGAACAAATGTATTAGATACAAGATAGATGCATATCTTGCAAGGCAGCACGATAGCAAATATGCTCTGTTTGAAATGAAGGGTCTAAGACCTCAGTAAATCCATGCAGATCACTGCCCTGAGCTGTAGAGGTGTGCTTAGGATAAAAATTCCTAAAAGTCCTTTCCTATCACTGATTTCCTCTATAACTATCACTATTTCTCTTTGTAACCATCACCAGTTTACAATTCCTTTTCCATTTGTTCTCTAAATTTTAATAAACTTTATAATCACTCATAGTGGCACATCCCTGCAGGGACTGAGTGCTGCTCTGGGCTACATGACCACACCTGCATTTTCTGACATGTGGGTGGACAAGTGGATGACACACAATAAATGTCTGACACTTGAACTCTAACATCAGTTCTACATGTATTTTTCCCCTGGCTGAGGAAGAAGGACGAAAATTTGAGCACTTAAATAAAGAGATATTTGCAATGTGATAAAGGACAGAAATGTAGAGACTAAATTGTTTATAAATGTGTTTGTTTTTTTCTTCCTGACAATACACATAGTGCAACAACAACAAGTGTTTGGATTTCAGTTTAGATTTAGAAAAATAATAAAGTTAAGGTATAGAGGATTTTAAAACACATTGTTGTTAAAAAAGTAATATTCATGGCCATCACTTAGTCAAAGCCAATTTTTTCTAATTATGCAAACCTGTATAAGCTTAGTTTTAATGCAATAATATTAGTGTTCTCTACTTTGAGGGTTTGATCTATGTGTTTTGTGTTATCTTTATATGAGTTAACATTTCTCTCAATTTTTATTTTCTTTACCCATTTCAAATTGCAGCGAACTTTGGGCTGAAAGCCAAAAAAAGTGTTATCCATCCACGGACATCATCAAGCACCAGGTCAATGAGATTTTCTTTATCATCAGAAAAGTCATATCCTAATGGTCTCGCTGCCTCACCGGATAATGGGGCACCTTTCTCAAACAGTTGCTCACATCCAAAACCTGGGGACCTGGTCCATTCCTTGGTCAATGACGACATAGAAAAGCGGGTACACGTGAACAAGGATGGAAGCCTGTCTGTTGAGATGAAAGTTCGCTTCCGCTTGCTGAATGATGAGACTCTGCAATGGTCCACCCAGATCAAAAAGTCCAACATGAATCAGATGCCTTGTGAAGAGTCCTGTGTAGAGGACAGTGGAGTAGACCCCATACAGAAAATGAACCCAGAGGTCAGCTCAGAGGCAGATGAGTCATTATATCCCTGTGATATTGATTCTTACATGTCAAAACTTGAGGAATCGGAATGTGATGAGGTTCATTGTCACAGCTGTGGCAAGAAACACCAGGATTATGACATTTGGAAAAATCCCATGCACACATCCCAGAGGGAAGAGCCCAGTGTACGAAGCACCTGGCGCACACGGTCGTCATGCTCCAGCACATCGTCCCGGAGAAGGGTAGTCCACAAAAAAATGGCTTCTGTGGATAGTCTCCATACCACATCCAGTGAGGAGTTCTCTGAACACATTGTCCATGAGTCCTCATCCTACTCAGAGACTGTAGAGAACAGAGTGTCATACCGATCAATTAAAAAGTGTACCTGTCGAAGTGAGTTGTCTACAGGTGTTTCCAATGGAGAAGACCAGCAAGAATACACCCGGACAAGCACGAGCAACAGTCAGAGACCTTCATCCGTGGGCGCAATGTCACATTCAAGCTGTGAAAACAACCTTGATCCTCAAGACAGCCCTGAAGACCATGAGCCCAGCAAAACCAATTCACAACACGAAGATGAAAATTGTTTTGAAGTATCCTCTGTGAAGTGCTTGAAGGATGACATGGAAGAGGTTGAAAGCAGCAGAGTTGGGAGTGCCATGTCAAGGTCATCTCTGCAGTCCAGACAGAGCAAGAAAAATGTATGTGAGGAAACAAGTGTTGCTAGGAGCATGTCTTCCTCTAGCCTTCAGAGAGCAAATCAAGAAGATAACACCAGGTGCTCCACCCCTGCCAATAGTGTGCACAGTAAGTCTAGCAAATGTCCTACACCAAGAGCTCAGAGTGAACAAGATGACCACCCTAATGACAATGCAATGGTCTCTTTCTCCAACGAATCCCACCCCCAGAAAGAGACTGAAGAAGTTGGAGCAGAACAAGAAGAACACGAAATCAGTGAAGTCGGCTCAGTGTCAGCAAAATCAAGGGCCAGCCAACCAATTAGAGATGAGAGCAGTGAAGGTGAACAGTGTTCTAGACAAGGAACCCCTCATTCCAGAGCTAGTGACAGGAATAGCAAGAGAAGTGACAATGGAGAGGATTTAAATTGCAATGCCTCTTGCTCTTCCAGAGGGTCCAAGAGAAGCAAACACAGCCATATTGATTTGGATGCACGGTCTGAAATGTCTGTGTCTTCGGTTGGATCTACTGCAAATAAAAAGAATAACTCCCTATATGCAGGTGATATGAGATCAGGCAGCAGAGCATCTAATTACTCCAAAAGCTCTAATGACAATGCAATGGTCTCTTTCTCCAACGAATCCCACCCCCAGAAAGAGGCTGAAGAAGTTGGAGCAGAACAAGAA